AGGCGATTGAAAATACCATGGCTTGGTTCAGGAACACTTAAGTTCTCAGTGGCATAATGTGTCAATCTGGGTGGACTAGAGAAACAAATTCATAGAGACTCCTATGTGTATAAGAAAGAACTTTATATACAAGAGCAATTGAATATTGAGAAAACATCCCAGCCCAGTCCAGATCAAGTCCATAAGTCCGATATTAGCCCATATGTCTGATACCAATCTCTAAAGTCCTCTTCAGACTCATGAAACACATGCAATGACGCCAAATGCAGGAAGAGCGCAGGCCAGTGGGTGGGAAGTCTTGTGGATCCAATGGCGTTGTAAGCAACTCAGCTCTGGCAGGGGTCTCCATGGGCCTCTGCTGGCTCCAGAGGTCTGGCTCCATCAGCCTCTCTCTGTGTGTCTTCTCCACAGGGATGTCTTACAGGGAGTAAGCCTAAAGAGGAAGTGTCTCCCACCTCCAAGGAGGAAATACAGAAGTTCTCAGAATCCTCAGGAGAAGGCCATGGCCACACAGAGGCCTCATTGGCTATATCCTAATCGACAGATTAGACTCCACCCCCATACTCTTAATCCTCTCAAATTGACACCAGATTATGTAACTACCACATATACCTTGTGCCTCAATACTTCCAGCCTCACAGCAACACACAAGCCACCATAGTACGACAAACTGACCGATGACTAGGGGATGAGCATGATATGAGAGTGGTAATGTGTGCAAATTGCCCATCCAGCTCGGCTTTACCACTGTTCATTCTCTGCCCAGCTCACACCACCCCTGGGGGACTGCCAGAGACTCCTGCTCCTATCCAGAGATGAGAGCCTCAGGGGATTCACACCTGGAAGTCTAAAAGATCCCTGAGGTGACTCAGGGAGGGCACAGGATTCGGCACTACAGAAATTCTTTCCCTTTACCTGAAAGTAGGGATTTGGATCCATTTGGGGGATTGATTGTCCTGTGGACCTCTCTCAGGATGTTGCTTTTTAAATGCACTGGATCACCAAAAAAATCACTCATTTCGAAGTTGCAAGCCATGAAAAGATGCAATTCAAAAGGTGTGTGCTTGTTCATGAACCAGGCTGTTGTTGTTAGGTACCCTGTGTACAACCGCACTGACACAGCGCCCTCAGTCCTGCGCCATCCTCACAATCGTGGTTAGGGCAGAGCCCATCGGGGCAGCCACTGTGTCAATCCATGCCTTCCTCTCTTTCGCTGACCCTCCACTTTACCAAGCATGATGTCCTTCTCCCCAGGACTCCTTTCTCCTGATGCCATGTCCAACATCTCTGAGACGAACTCTCACCGTCCTCTCTTCTCATTCCGGCTGTACAGCTCCCAAGACAGGTTTGTTTGTCCTTCTGGAAGCCCTTCCCCAGTGCTATCATTGAAATGAATTCATTCTTCTTTCACCTTCCTCATTCATTATCCAACTGTCACATGTGTGAGGTGATTGGAAATACCATGGCCTGCCACAGCCTCAAAGTGTCCTTCTGGCTCGGGAACACTTTAAAGAGGTCTCGGGCAGTAGGTTTGCCCAATGCAGTGCATTGTTGGACCTCTTGACTGCTCCTTCCATGAGCACTGACTCGGATCCGAGCAGGATGACATCCCTGACCACTTCCGTCCTCTCTCTGTTGATCATGATGTTGTCTCTTTGTCCAGTTGTGAGGAGTTTGGCTTAGTTTACACTGAATCCGTTCCGAGGCCTGCCGTCTCTGGTCTTTATCAGCAAGTCCTCCAAGTCCTCCTCGCTTTCAGCAAGGGAGGTTGTAGCATCTGCATGTCACAGGTTGACATTCGTATCGTGCCCTTTATGGACCTGCCTACTGTATACTGTGTGGCAAAAACTGAACCACAGGCATTAATTCAGTTCCAGATCTGAAGGCGTCCCCAAGGGCCTACATCTAAAGGGTTCTACCAGTCTCTATCCAACCGGGAAGCCTGGTCTTTTTCATGACTTTTTATTCTGTGCCACTTTTTGCTCCCATTCTTTGCAGGACGTTCCAATGTGATCCCTTTCAGAGCAATTGGTAGGAGTAGCTGGGCACCATCTAGTTCTTCGGATTTTGGTGTCATGGAGATGAATGGTTGAGTAGTCCATTGGAGCTTGGTCTCATTGTCTCCATGGGTCTTCCCATTGTCATCGCTGTTCTTTCTCCCAGGTAATAGTTGCCTGTCCAACATGACCGCTCACAAGCTTTTAAGATCCCAGTCCATCAAGAATTATATGGATGCAGGACACTTTGAAAAAAGTCAGGCAGTGATGCAAGAGCAACTGTGATTCCTAATTGCTGATGGATCTAAACAATATGTTGATACATCTCTCAGTGTTATTGTAAATCACAGTTAGAAGCACCTGATCTGTATGCGATGTTTATTAACAATTGCTGCCGAGTCCATCGCTGGCCCCACGAGGGTCAGAGCAGAACTGTGCTGCAAAGAATTCTCAGTGGCTGATATTTCAGAAGGAGGCCACCAGGCCTTTCTCCCAAGGCACCCCTGGATGGTCTCAAACAGCCACCTTTGGGCTACCAGCCAAGCCCTTAACCGTTTGTTTCACCCAGGGACCCTCAAGACTGGAGGGCATCCCCTACATTTGAAATCAATGGTGCCAGGCGGGTTAAATGTGGGGAATGTGTTACTTAGCAAAAGGAATCTGTCTCTGGGCAAAGGTGAAAACACGGAGCCAGGTGTGGCCTGGATTCTCCACTCTCTATTTGCGTGACTTTGAGAGGTTTACTTCTTTTATAGGTACCTTTGTTTCTTCATCTGTGGAAAGGGGATTTTTAAAAGAGCATGCTCAGGGGACAGCACGTTGGCTGTGGCTATCAGCCACGCATTCTTCTTGATCAGCAGAATGCCAGACACCCAGCCTCCCTCCTTGACTCAGGCCAGAGATTCTGGATGAGTGTGTGTCCGAGGTGCGGGCTGGCCTGCCCTTAGCCTGTGAGGAGGGTAACAGGCAGTCAATCATTGCAGGTGAGGAAGCGGGTGAGGAGAAACGCCAGCATCAGCAGAAAGGGCCTCCTGCTTGGAAAGAAAAGGGGTGTGCCTCTGGGCAAGGGTCAAGGTGGCCCCACCTCTGGGACCATCCTTGGTCCAAGTCCAGGTTGGGGGAGAAGCAGTGGATGCTTAGAGGAGAGAGAGTGAACCTGCCGGCAGACAAACTTTATGAGCTTTCAGTGCGGTGTGCACTGGGGCGGGCTGGAGACGGTAGGTACAACTCAGGGTGTGTGCAGGCCACAAGGTGGGTGGTCTGGGGTTGCCCTGGGAGTGGTGTGATACAGCTGCCTTGCCTGGAGTTCCAACCTGGCCCCGCCACTCCCTAGTCCTGAGACTTTGGGTAAACCTCTCGCTCTTTCTGAGCCCATCTGGAAGGAGTCCACCGTACCCACCTTTCTGACTTACATGAGCTCCGTGCAGGAACGACCGAGCTAGCTCTTCAGCATTACTCCATAAGGAGCTGCCTCCTCTCCCCCAGCCCACCCCCTGCAGCCCAAGGGACCCTTCCCCAGCCTTGGGCGGGGTACCAAGGATGGGGGGGGGGTGGCCTAGACACTACCTGATGGGGAGACATCCAAGGGCAGAGCAGTTTGGGTGGGGAGAGGGGAGGAGCAGCCCCCCTTGGCTCAGCTTTCTTCCAGTCCCATTGTCCAAGGAACCCCAGCACCAAGCGCCAGCTTCAGCCAGAAAAGAAGGCGCCGGTGCCCGGGGCGGGGCAGGAGGAGGCTTGGATTCTACAGCCCCCTCTTCTGGAGGCTTCTTATCTAATGAGTTCCCAGTCCTTCCGACCGGCAAGTGGGGCTGGCTCTCTGGGGCTCCATCCTGCCAGAAGTCCTTCCCCATGCCTGCATGGGTCCTCCTGCACGTAGGGGCTGCCTGAGTAAAGGAGTTTCTTGCACCCAAAGACCCCCAGGACCAATGCTCAATGTCCCTGCTCTGTGTCGGCTGGGGACCCTTTCACTTGTTTGAGAAATGTGAGGGTGCCCTCTGACGCTGTGCAAGGCATCTCCCATGGCAGATTACCAGGAGGGAGACACTCCGTGGTTCTCGCCTCCACCCGCCCTGTTTTCGTTCTCAACACCGCTAAAGCCCACTGCGTTGTGAGCCCCAAGGGTCCAGAGGCCACAGAACCAAGTCACAGAGCAGACCTCCCGGCAGTGAATGGGCCCAGAGTGAAGCAACTAGTCACACAAAGGAAAACACTCCTTGGAAGGCTGGGCGGGGACCAGGCCAGGGTCCACAGTGCCCAGTCTCTGGCCTCCGACGGAGTGGTGGGTGCCTGATATCCAGCCCCTCCAACCCCCTGTAGCATGTCCAGGTGTCTCAAGGTCAAAGACATGGTGGCAAGGCCTTGAGAATCTCACTTTGCTTGCGTTTGGTTTTCACCGTGGTAAGTGTATCCCAAAAACCAAACCGAATTCACCGACATCACGTCAATGGGGACTCACAGCAACCCCCTGTGGGTTTCCGAGACTGTCCACGGGAGTAGAAAGCCCAGTCTTTCTTCGGAGGAGCTGCTGGTGGTTTTGAACTGCCGACCATGCAGATCGCAGCCCAACGCATCACCAGGACTCCACCGTGTGTGTCACTTCAGCGGTCTTCACAGCTTCCATCCAGTGGCGTGAAATCGGTTCGCTGGGTCCTAGAGAAGCATCGGGCTGCCAACTGCAAGGTCAGCAACGAAAACCCACCAGCCTTCCTGCCCCGGGAGGAAGGTGAGGTGTTCTGTTGCTGCCCAGTTGACCTTGGAAAACCCTGGAGTCAGAATCCACTGCACCGCAGTAGGTTGGGTTTGGGTCTGGTTGCTCACTCCCGAATTGCTTCCTCTCCCTGAACAGAGCCTGCGTCTTTCCCTTGGGAAACGGGTCCTCCATGGGATTCCAGACTGGATTTCCTCGTCTCTCCCTACCTGGCTACAAAGGGTCTGCTCTCTCTGGGACAGCAGGCAACCAGATACGGGGCTCTAACAGTTCCACCGCTCTCCTCCTGCCCGCAGGAAGCCTACTGCGCCTACGCCATCATCCTCATGGCCCTCTTCTGGTGCACGGAGGCTCTGCCCCTGGCCGTCACGGCGCTCTTCCCCCTGGTCCTGTTCCCCATGATGGGCATCATGGATGCCTCCCAGGTAGGCCTCCCCCAGCCTGGGGGGGGGGTCATGGGGCGGGGGAGGGTCCTGTGACCAAAGATGACGCCTCATCTGGGTGAGCGCTTGGGAGGCGGGTCTGCTGGTGCAGGGAGAGCACAGAGGGAAGAGCACCCGGAAGGCAGGAGGAGGACCTCGGAGAAGCGTGGAGTGCAGGGCTGGTGTGAGGTCCTCAAAGATGGCAGTGATGAGGCCGAGGCCAGGGAAGTGGAAACACCTGGGGACTCCAGGGCAGGCCTGAAAAGTCAAGTAAAGACTGGTGTCCCTCTAGTCCCCCGGTTCTCAGACTTGAGCCCCCGCAGAATCATGTGGGGGGCGGGGTTCGCTGAAGCCTGGGTTGACCGGCAGTTCTTGAATACCTGTCTCTACGGACACACGTGTCACACTGACACGGAAACAGAACTGCACATTCTCTCTTTTTCCCCCCCTTGTTTTC